CCCCAAAACCCCAAAACCCCAAAACCCCAAAACCCCGTATTACTCTTAACATGTTGAATTGGATTAAAGGTTATCTTCCTTTGCAGCTGGCTTTGGAAGTCCGACCATACTCTTCAGTTGTAAAACACACTTGCTTTTTTTTGTAGATTCTTGAACTGCTTCTTCAAATGAGGCTTTGCAAACGAGGATAGATTTCACTATTTGGCGATATTTCTTTAGGGTTAGTATCAAACTTACATTAGAAATGACCTTTAGGTCAGATTTATGTTTAGATTTCTTTGCTTTCCAAATCTTGGTGAGATTTTCTAATTTAAATCTTAATTGGTCTCGTTCTGCATCTTCCTTAATTTCCTTTTTGCTTTTTAACATCTTGCCTCTTTCCAACATATGGAGGGTTTCCTTCATTTTATTTAGTCTCTTCGGTAATTTTGGAATTTTTGATTAGTTTTTCTTGAAGCTTTTGGTCTATCTCCTTGATTTTTTCTGAGAGGATAAGGAACTTCTTTTTCTCTTCTATACTCATTTGGAGCATCTAAGCTATTATAAAAATGTTTACCTTCTGATTAGCTTCTTCTCCTTCGACAGTAGATTTAGGATCTATTTCTTGCAGTTCCTGAATGGCAATTTTCTGTTGCTTTTTGATTTTCTGGAGAGATTTTATTTCTTCATAAAGTTGATAGTTTTCTTCGATTATTTGTTTGTAATTACTCTTGTCTTCTTCGATCTTATCAGATGTGGCATAAGCAGAGCACTTGAGCTTGGCCATTCGAATTTCCTTCCTTATTTTATTGACTTCAGTATAAAGCTTTTCTTTTTGTTTAATCTTTTGGTATAGTTCAGGGTCGTTATTTTTCTTCTTTGTTTTTATTTAATACTTCTTCTCTGTATTTTCTTCTGTATTGAGTCTGGTCATTTTTGGCTTTGTCAATTACTTGAACTACCTGATTTCCAATGTCAGTGAGCTTGGTGATCATCTCTTCATTGGTCTGAGCCAATTCTTGAATGTGGTCGTCAGCGTCTTCTCCTTGTATGTAGTTACCTTCTGGAGCATCGTAGGATTTTTCAATGAGGTATGCACTTTCAGCCCGGAGCTGGTTAATTCCTTCCATAACTGTTTCCGAGTTAAGGTCTTGGTGAGCTTGGATAGTTTGAGAATTTCTGTATCTTCCACCGTTAGAAAGAGTAGAAGCTTTTGCTCTGTTGTTCCTGGAATGATGAAAATGTGAAGGTTTAACATTTTGGTTATTTTTCATCTCGCTCATGCCTATGTTTTATACAAGGAACTAAACTATGGTTGACTGCTGCTCTTCTGGTTCCAAAGGGGCTATGAAGGTCAAGGTAAAATGTTACTCAATTTGGTTCTTTTTACGGGAATATTTAGAACTGTAATACATGTTATGAATGTTCCTACCTAGATTTTGTCTCTTTGAGAGGTGAACGTAGATCTGAGGAGCCAACTTTTATGAGACTTCCGTACTCTTTGCGGGGGAGTACATCATTTATAGTTTTAGAATATCTAGAAATAAGCAGAAATACTCACTCTGGAATTGGGTTTTTGATTGAGCCAGATGATGCATTACGGCTAGATTGTCAATACTTTGGATTTACCTTCTTTCCATTTTCAATAAAATTATTTTACAAAGGGGTTTTGGGGTTTTGGGGTTTTGGGGTTTTGGGGTTTTGGGG